GAGCAGATGTGTCAAATGCTGTAGAGCTATTATGTCCTACAGCAGTATAGTGAGATGGCAGAAGATGGAGACAAAAACCAGCAGTCTCAGTCCAGATCTGGATTAGAAGAATTAACCATTAGAGGACTGTCTTTCAGCAAGGGCCATGGTGGACTGAATGGCAAGGGCACACCACCTCTAAGCCTGTTTCTTTTCTGATGACAGAGACGTGGTGACAGGTGTGGCCTGAGTTTGGGGTTTGGGGCCTTACACTAAATGGTGGTTTCAGTTTGTGGACCTTGAGCCCTGGCTGCCAATCCAAACCCAAATGTACATTCCATTATCCTGGATTTGTGGTTGGGATTTAGGATGGTGATGGTGACAGAGTTCCATTGATCAGGAAAGCTTGACTTGTTCATCATGAGTTGGATCCAGGGAATCAGCTGGTCCCGGTAAAGTGGCCTAATCCAGTTTTGCCCAGAATGTGCATTCCCAGTTAGGAGTATTCCTTGGAGCAGTTAAAGGAGTAATGTGTGTGTAGGGGTTTTTTCCACATTCCCATAGTATCAGGGGAAACAATAATCTTACCAGCTGAGCTGACACAGAGCTCTGGTAACTAACTAAAAGCCCCGAGTCACGCAGTCTGGAGAGCCTTTTCCCGAGTGAGAGAGCAAGAGGTGACAAGGCACCCTATTTATCCCCCAAAGTTCCAGAATTCCTGCTTTGCTCCGCTCTTGGGTCCTCGCAGTTCTCTCCCTGGTACTGCTGGGAGTTGTAGTTTTCAGTCACTGGAGTACAGGTAGAGTCCAGAAAACCGGAGTAGGGGGGTGGATTCCAAAAGGCTCTGCAGAGTTCCTTTAGGACACCCTTCCCCTTAACAATTCCCCCCTTTTGATTTCATACCACCATATCTATGGTGGCAAAGATCACAGGGTGTATTCTTTAGAGACAGTATCTATAAGATTTCCAGTGTTTGTAATGTTTCCAGAGGTATGCAAAAGAAGCAGCAGTCACCAGCAATGTTTATGAATGCCCAGGTTGATGGTCATTACTGGAAAATAGTCCATCATTATAGGTGAAGAGAAAAAAAAACAATCTTCATATATATATATATATATATATACACACACACATACACACATACACATACATATATATGTATGTATATGCATATATATATATTAAAATAACAAGAACAAGCAAAAATCTTCAAAAACTGGTTTAACTTCTGTAAAAACAAGTTCTCTCAACCTTGATCCCAACTTAATCTAAGAAAGTACAATGTGTTTACAAATTCAAGCTACCTTTTAACCATTTTCCTATTTTCACATGAAATCACAGGGTAGACTAACCAAACAGCAATTTTTAGATGGCCTTGTTGGAACAGTTCATATAGTATCAGAGCAGACAGTCGATGTAGAGTTGACATAGGCTTTAGGAACAACGCCAGTCTCTGCAGATTCAACTTGGGGTCACCTCTTCCCGAGGTTACCAGGGCTCAATGTTTGTCTCAGGTTGTCCAGTCCTTCCAATGGAGGCAAGCTTCCTCACCTTCTTTGGAGGTCTCTGGGACCCTACAAACAAAGCAGCAAATGCTCATCTTGTTTCAGCTCTGTTTGAAGTTCCTGGAGAATGCCAAGCAAAGCCGCTGAAGCACATTGCCAATTATTTTAGTTAAAGCAGACAAAATTCCCTATTGAAGTTATGCAAAAATAGACTCATGAGTAGTAAAAATTACTACAACAATTTTTATACTATGTTGGTATCAAGGGGAGAGAAGAAATGGAAACAAAAATTAGCTCTGTTAAAAAAATGTAATATTAATATAGATTCTGGACATTCAAAGCAAGAAAACTGTCTTTGAATCAAATAACCATAAATGTCAGTAGTATTTCAAACAAAACTTAGTAAAATCAGTCTATTTGGTTCTTTGTGGAAAATATTTTCCCACTATCAAAAGTTTAGTTAATTAGAATTTGTTGAGAACTATTACTGGAAACAAAAAAAAATTTTTCCTTTTTTTCAAAAACAATTTCTGCAAATATCAGACTACTGAATTTTTTAGAAACAATTTCTCTAAATACCAGACTATTGAATATAGTATGGCAAAACAATGATCAGCGTTCAAAATTTACATACATCTCAAATACATATCAAAATATGTTTTTTTTCAGAAACAATTTCTACAAATATCAGACTAATATAATATGGCAAGACATTGATCAACAGTCACAATTTGCATACATATAAAAAATACTTTGTATGTTTTTGAAAAACAAGGCTAACAGTTGTGTTCATGCCCAAGGTTTACCTTTTTCCCAAATGACAATGCTTCCTTCCCAGTTTTACTTTAGTATGTACACCAAATTAGGCGAATTGATCTGAATGCTTTCCCCAGGGGCGAAAGAGAAATTTTGTGGAGTATCTCAGGAGCTCTACTGAGGTTCCACAAAACTTCCTTCAATGAACAAAATGACAAGCTACCAAATTCATTTCAATTTATAATTCTGGGAAGGTTTGTCACAAATATGAAGAAGAAAAAAATAACAGCAAAGACAATCCCAATTCCATGAAAGCTCTGGCTCAGCTCAGTAAGACAATGTTGATATTCAAACCATAGGCATGTAGTTTTCCTATTTTACTTATTTTATAACAAGAGACTCTTTATTTTCCCAAAAACCTTAGTTATTACAAACTTCCATTTGTCTGACATTATGAACCCAAATAAGAGCAATAAGAGAATATATATATATATATATATATATATATATATATATATATATACAACAATACAACTTTTTTTTAACAAATTAGTTACCATGAAGGTTAAATTTCATATGTCTTACAATATCTATAGGTGCCATCTAAACCAATTTAGAACACCTCAAAGCCAAGGCAATTAAACACAAGTAAAAGACATACAGATATTCAACATATGGACACAGACAGTATTCTTAGTTATGCCACGTGGAATCATATGTAACTGCAGTTTTACTCATATAGGTCAAAATGATTAAAAAACAAACAAACAAAAAGAAATAGAAGAAAAAA